ATAGTAATTTTAAAAATAATACATTAAAATGAAGAAATAGCGAGTTAGCTATTTAACATAATTAAAAGTTTAATTACTTGTCATATTCTTCGTCTCATTAATCTACTTTAGAGCAATTAAATAAACGTCTGAACCCTGATACATTTCGAAATTTAAATTTGCGCAATGTCATAATCCGAACTCGACCAATTAAGCAATCGGTAAGTGATGTAAACAAAGCACAAGCATAGAGAATTACACGGTTGTGATTGGCTGTTGGGATTCTGACAGGTTTCATGCCGCCATATTGGCTTCCAATTATTGGGTCGTGCATTATCGGGCCGTACATTATTTGTACGGCCCGATAATGTACGGCCCAATAATGCACGACCCAATAATTCGTGTACATACTTTTTATGGGACACGGATTATTGGCCCGTACCGATAATGTACGGCCCGATAATGTACAGCCCAATAATGCACGGCCCGATAATTCGTGTACCAAAATCCTTTGTTTGTACACGGATTATTGGGCCGTGCATTATTGGGTCGTGCATTATCGTGGCTGTACATTATTGCCTCCCACAAGCTAGCCATGACAGCACGACGCAGTCTTTATTGTCATAAAACAGATTAGATTATATCTTAAAAAAATATTTTGCACGTTTGCATACAACTTCTAATTGTCAAAGCAAAATATGTACTTATAGTATGTAAATAATACATTTTCCTATTACATTATTCTCGAAATACATGTTAATGATAGGATAATCTTTTGAAAAATTAATTTAAAAATGTTAACTTCACATTTGCTGAACTGAAGTAAACAGCTGACAGCTGTCATAAATATTATTTGACATTTACTTTATTGGAACGATTTGAGGTTACAAAAATATAAAAACAACGACTATCGAATCGAAAGATGTCTAAATCAGTTGCTAGATTAAAATCCATGAAGAAAGTAGCTGATAAAATAGACCATTCGTCCAAATTAAGAACCAATGTACCGGCAGGTATGGCCGCTGCTGGACCACCTTTAGGTCCTATGCTGGGGCAGGTAATCATTTATTACGTCGATAATGTTGTTTAATTCAATACAACAAATTAAACGTTATCTTTTTTTTTAGCGTAATATAAACATAGCAGCCTTTTGCAAGGACTTTAATGAACGCACTGCTAACATAAGGCCAGGGATACCTTTGCCTACAAGAGTCAAAGTGAATTCTGATCGATCTTATCAACTTACTATTCATCAACCACCAGCTTCGTATTTCATAAAACAGGCTGCTGGTGTCAACCGAGGGGCTATGTATCCTGGTAAGTACCATATCAGTGTCATATACCAATTGTACAGCAAAGGCTTAATTTATTGTAATGATTTTCCATTGTTGGTATTAATAATATAGAACTCTTCTGTCAGTCACCATTTAACACATCTAATAATTTACCAAGAACCCCTAAATTTTAAAGTTCTATCCAATTAGGAAATACTGTGTTAGAAAGATTTTTTTTAATGTTATTTCAGACTATGTCATGAAACTGTTGTGTATAATACTAATATCATGTATGACTTTTCAGTTAATGAGATAAGTGGAAAAATAACACTGAAGCATATATATGAAATTGCAAAAATTAAATCACAGGATCCACCTTTAGAATGGAGGCCATTAAAAGAAATATGCACAATGCTTATAGCTACAGCAAGAACATGTGGAATTGAAGTTGTCAGAGACCTAGATGCTAAGGTATTCATAGGATAGCTATTTTTTAAATTTCCTTGCATACATAGTCACAGGCAAAATCATCCAATTTGCAATTTATTAGTAAATTAAATAACAATCTCTGATATGTTGTCTTAAATCAATATAAACTAAAGAGAGTATAAAATAAAATTATTAATATTAACATAGTAATGATATTAATTTTAGGAGTATGGTGAATTCCTTCAAGAAAGAAAACAAATAGTTGAAGAACAAAAGAAAATGTTGCAAGAAAAGAGAGAAGCTAAAATGTTGAGAACAGCATAGATTTTTGTAAAATAAATAGATATAATTAGTAGGTATTGTAAATTTAGATCAAATAAAAACCACATTATTTGTTAGTATGTGTTTTATTAAGACAAACTGACACTAAAACATTTATGAGGTTTATGTATTATGCTATGGACAAGAAAAAATCATTTAATAAAATTAATAATTTCAATTTGATACAAGAGTTAAAAACTATATGACTAATGCTCAGTCTACAGTTTAAAACTAAAGTTAGTACTAAGAATCAACAACACCAACCACAACACTCGATAAAATATTTAATGTAAAACTGTACTGCAGTGACACTTGTATACATATTGGCATCTCTTTCTTTGTCTTTGACTAAACAGAGATTACAATATCTATGGACGATGTGAATAGCGGGTTTTCTGCTACACTTCTAGAGAATAAAAAAATATTAGATATATAAACTACTTCAAATCTTGGTATTGAATTATTTTATAAATATTAAAATGTAAGATTTTATTTTATCTACATAGATAACTCATTTTCATCAGTAAATTGTACCATCTGTTGATCATAATTCTCTATGGAATAAAAAAAAACTATTGCCCGCTAGATCTCCAGTTGATAATGCCCTTGACATTGGATATTACAAGTGTTAGAGCGGTCAAATTTCATAACACTATTTACAAGCATATTTATTGAGCACCTAAATTACAATATCAACACAATAGACCCATTTTGACTTTAAAACAGAAAGCATATGTCACAGATAAGAAATCCAAAAATGTAACAGATATTCAAACAATTTTCCTTAACAATTATTTTATCTTTATTTTATTATTAGATTTATTAATTTACACTATAAGTTACACAAGTCCAAATGGGCCTATTATTTTGTAAACTACCTAATTTACCCTTATTAATCAGAACTCTAATTATCACAAATTACAGTCTGTCAAAATTACAGTCCAAGTACATGCTAAAAAATATTTTTTTACTATTTAATAATGCCTCTATTGCTATACTCTATGAGATATCTAAGATTTTTATTAACAAAGAAAAAGGCATTTTTTATCTACAGGTAACAAGGCAAGACTATGCTCAGGTAATACTGTGACTGTATTTACTAAAATATTTTGTTCACAGAATTAAATAAAATTATATAGTGTAACCAGGAATAAAAAAATCCTAACCAGGGGATAAAATGTAATTACAATATAATGTATGCCAAAATTTAGTTTAATTTTTCCCCAACATTGCAAAGGTTTTTAATTTCCCGGTTTGGTCCTGTATCAAATCAAAAGCTGAATTTTGTTAACACAAATATTAATATAGAAGAAATTTTAATACCTCCTTAGTTTCCTATTAAAAAAAGTGATGTTTTGTAAAATAAAATGAAAAATTGTATTTGATTCAGGACTTGATTTGGAACAGAGCTATTTTTTATTAAGTATGTAAATCATTTTAAAATACAGTCGATTGTACTAGTGGAGTTGCATCTATATAAAATATGAAAACTGTACACAAACAAAATATTTGTACTGCACTCTATTGTACTTTGAATACTGTTCATGACTATTTTGTGGAATGTATGCTCAAAAATGTAGTCAACGGCGGATCCGGG